GGGGGGGGGGGGGGGGGGGGGGGGGGGGGGGGGGGGGGGGGGGGGGGGGGGGGGGGGGGGGGGGGGGGGGGGGGGGGGGGGGGGGGGGGGGGGGGGGGGGGGGGGGGGGGGGGGGGGGGGGGGGGGGGGGGGGGGGGGGGGGGGGGGGGGGGGGGGGGGGGGGGGGGGGGGGGGGGGGGGGGGGGGGGGGGGGGGGGGGGGGGGGGGGGGGGGGGGGGGGGGGGGGGGGGGGGGGGGGGGGGGGGGGGGGGGGGGGGGGGGGGGGGGGGGGGGGGGGGGGGGGGGGGGGGGGGGGGGGGGGGGGGGGGGGGGGGGGGGGGGGGGGGGGGGGGGGGGGGGGGGGGGGGGGGGGGGGGGGGGGGGGGGGGGGGGGGGGGGGGGGGGGGGGGGGGGGGGGGGGGGGGGGGGGGGGGGGGGGGGGGGGGGGGGGGGGGGGGGGGGGGGGGGGGGGGGGGGGGGGGGGGGGGGGGGGGGGGGGGGGGGGGGGGGGGGGGGGGGGGGGGGGGGGGGGGGGGGGGGGGGGGGGGGGGGGGGGGGGGGGGGGGGGGGGGGGGGGGGGGGGGGGGGGGGGGGGGGGGGGGGGGGGGGGGGGGGGGGGGGGGGGGGGGGGGGGGGGGGGGGGGGGGGGGGGGGGGGGGGGGGGGGGGGGGGGGGGGGGGGGGGGGGGGGGGGGGGGGGGGGGGGGGGGGGGGGGGGGGGGGGGGGGGGGGGGGGGGGGGGGGGGGGGGGGGGGGGGGGGGGGGGGGGGGGGGGGGGGGGGGGGGGGGGGGGGGGGGGGGGGGGGGGGGGGGGGGGGGGGGGGGGGGGGGGGGGGGGGGGGGGGGGGGGGGGGGGGGGGGGGGGGGGGGGGGGGGGGGGGGGGGGGGGGGGGGGGGGGGGGGGGGGGGTTGTTTGGGGGGGGGGGGGGGGGGGGGGGGGGGGGGGGGGGGGGGGGGGGGGGGGGGGGGGGGGGGGGGGGGGGGGGGGGGGGGGGGGGGGGGGGGGGGGGGGGGGGGGGGGGGGGGGGGGGGGGGGGGTTTGGGTGGGGGTGGGGGTGTGGGGGGGTGTGGGGGGTTTTTTGTTGTGGGGGGGGGGGGGGGGTTTTGGGGGGGGGGGGGGGGGGGGGGGGGGGGGGGGGGGGGGGGGGGGGGGGGGGGGGGGGGGGGGGGGGGGGGGGGGGGGGGGGGGGGGGGGGGGGGGGGGGGGGGGGGGGGGGGGGGGGGGGGGGGGGGGGGGGGGGGGGGGGGGGGGGGGGGGGGGGGGGGGGGGGGGGGGGGGGGGGGGGGGGGGGGGGGGGGGGGGGGGGGGGGGGGGGGGGGGGGGGGGGGGGGGGGGGGGGGGGGGGGGGGGGGGGGGGGGGGGGGGGGGGGGGGGGGGGGGGGGGGGGGGGGGGGGGGGGGGGGGGGGGGGGGGGGGGGGGGGGGGGGGGGGGGGGGGGGGGGGGGGGGGGGGGGGGGGGGGGGGGGGGGGGGGGGGGGGGGGGGGGGGGGGGGGGGGGGGGGGGGGGGGGGGGGGGGGGGGGGGGGGGGGGGGGGGGGGGGGGGGGGGGGGGGGGGGGGGGGGGGGGGGGGGGGGGGGGGGGGGGGGGGGGGGGGGGGGGGGGGGGGGGGGGGGGGGGGGGGGGGGGGGGGGGGGGGGGGGGGGGGGGGGGGGGGGGGGGGGGGGGGGGGGGGGGGGGGGGGGGGGGGGGGGGGGGGGGGGGGGGGGGGGGGGGGGGGGGGGGGGGGGGGGGGGGGGGGGGGGGGGGGGGGGGGGGGGGGGGGGGGGGGGGGGGGGGGGGGGGGGGGGGGGGGGGGGGGGGGGGGGGGGGGGGGGGGGGGGGGGGGGGGGGGGGGGGGGGGGGGGGGGGGGGGGGGGGGGGGGGGGGGGGGGGGGGGGGGGGGGGGGGGGGGGGGGGGGGGGGGGGGGGGGGGGGGGGGGGGGGGGGGGGGGGGGGGGGGGGGGGGGGGGGGGGGGGGGGGGGGGGGGGGGGGGGGGGGGGGGGGGGGGGGGGGGGGGGGGGGGGGGGGGGGGGGGGGGGGGGGGGGGGGGGGGGGGGGGGGGGGGGGGGGGGGGGGGGGGGGGGGGGGGGGGGGGGGGGGGGGGGGGGGGGGGGGGGGGGGGGGGGGGGGGGGGGGGGGGGGGGGGGGGGGGGGGGGGGGGGGGGGGGGGGGGGGGGGGGGGGGGGGGGGGGGGGGGGGGGGGGGGGGGGGGGGGGGGGGGGGGGGGGGGGGGGGGGGGGGGGGGGGGGGGGGGGGGGGGGGGGGGGGGGGGGGGGGGGGGGGGGGGGGGGGGGGGGGGGGGGGGGGGGGGGGGGGGGGGGGGGGGGGGGGGGGGGGGGGGGGGGGGGGGGGGGGGGGGGGGGGGGGGGGGGGGGGGGGGGGGGGGGGGGGGGGGGGGGGGGGGGGGGGGGGGGGGGGGGGGGGGGGGGGGGGGGGGGGGGGGGGGGGGGGGGGGGGGGGGGGGGGGGGGGGGGGGGGGGGGGGGGGGGGGGGGGGGGGGGGGGGGGGGGGGGGGGGGGGGGGGGGGGGGGGGGGGGGGGGGGGGGGGGGGGGGGGGGGGGGGGGGGGGGGGGGGGGGGGGGGGGGGGGGGGGGGGGGGGGGGGGGGGGGGGGGGGGGGGGGGGGGGGGGGGGGGGGGGGGGGGGGGGGGGGGGGGGGGGGGGGGGGGGGGGGGGGGGGGGGGGGGGGGGGGGGGGGGGGGGGGGGGGGGGGGGGGGGGGGGGGGGGGGGGGGGGGGGGGGGGGGGGGGGGGGGGGGGGGGGGGGGGGGGGGGGGGGGGGGGGGGGGGGGGGGGGGGGGGGGGGGGGGGGGGGGGGGGGGGGGGGGGGGGGGGGGGGGGGGGGGGGGGGGGGGGGGGGGGGGGGGGGGGGGGGGGGGGGGGGGGGGGGGGGGGGGGGGGGGGGGGGGGGGGGGGGGGGGGGGGGGGGGGGGGGGGGGGGGGGGGGGGGGGGGGGGGGGGGGGGGGGGGGGGGGGGGGGGGGGGGGGGGGGGGGGGGGGGGGGGGGGGGGGGGGGGGGGGGGGGGGGGGGGGGGGGGGGGGGGGGGGGGGGGGGGGGGGGGGGGGGGGGGGGGGGGGGGGGGGGGGGGGGGGGGGGGGGGGGGGGGGGGGGGGGGGGGGGGGGGGGGGGGGGGGGGGGGGGGGGGGGGGGGGGGGGGGGGGGGGGGGGGGGGGGGGGGGGGGGGGGGGGGGGGGGGGGGGGGGGGGGGGGGGGGGGGGGGGGGGGGGGGGGGGGGGGGGGGGGGGGGGGGGGGGGGGGGGGGGGGGGGGGGGGGGGGGGGGGGGGGGGGGGGGGGGGGGGGGGGGGGGGGGGGGGGGGGGGGGGGGGGGGGGGGGGGGGGGGGGGGGGGGGGGGGGGGGGGGGGGGGGGGGGGGGGGGGGGGGGGGGGGGGGGGGGGGGGGGGGGGGGGGGGGGGGGGGGGGGGGGGGGGGGGGGGGGGGGGGGGGGGGGGGGGGGGGGGGGGGGGGGGGGGGGGGGGGGGGGGGGGGGGGGGGGGGGGGGGGGGGGGGGGGGGGGGGGGGGGGGGGGGGGGGGGGGGGGGGGGGGGGGGGGGGGGGGGGGGGGGGGGGGGGGGGGGGGGGGGGGGGGGGGGGGGGGGGGGGGGGGGGGGGGGGGGGGGGGGGGGGGGGGGGGGGGGGGGGGGGGGGGGGGGGGGGGGGGGGGGGGGGGGGGGGGGGGGGGGGGGGGGGGGGGGGGGGGGGGGGGGGGGGGGGGGGGGGGGGGGGGGGGGGGGGGGGGGGGGGGGGGGGGGGGGGGGGGGGGGGGGGGGGGGGGGGGGGGGGGGGGGGGGGGGGGGGGGGGGGGGGGGGGGGGGGGGGGGGGGGGGGGGGGGGGGGGGGGGGGGGGGGGGGGGGGGGGGGGGGGGGGGGGGGGGGGGGGGGGGGGGGGGGGGGGGGGGGGGGGGGGGGGGGGGGGGGGGGGGGGGGGGGGGGGGGGGGGGGGGGGGGGGGGGGGGGGGGGGGGGGGGGGGGGGTGGGTTGGGGGGGGGGGGGGGGGGGGGGGGGGGGGGGGGGGGGGGGGGGGGGGGGGGGGGGGGGGGGGGGGGGGGGGGGGGGGGGGGGGGGGGGGGGGGGGGGGGGGGGGGGGGGGGGGGGGGGGGGGGGGGGGGGGGGGGGGGGGGGGGGGGGGGGGGGGGGGGGGGGGGGGGGGGGGGGGGGGGGGGGGGGGGGGGGGGGGGGGGGGGGGGGGGGGGGGGGGGGGGGGGGGGGGGGGGGGGGGGGGGGGGGGGGGGGGGGGGGGGGGGGGGGGGGGGGGGGGGGGGGGGGGGGGGGGGGGGGGGGGGGGGGGGGGGGGGGGGGGGGGGGGGGGGGGGGGGGGGGGGGGGGGGGGGGGGGGGGGGGGGGGGGGGGGGGGGGGGGGGGGGGGGGGGGGGGGGGGGGGGGGGGGGGGGGGGGGGGGGGGGGGGGGGGGGGGGGGGGGGGGCGGGGGGGGGGGGGGGGGGGGGGGGGGGGGGGGGGGGGGGGGGGGGGGGGGGGGGGGGGGGGGGGGGGGGGGGGGGGGGGGGGGGGGGGGGGGGGGGGGGGGGGGGGGGGGGGGGGGGGGGGGGGGGGGGGGGGGGGGGGGGGGGGGGGGGGGGGGGGGGGGGGGGGGGGTGGGGGGTTTTTGGGGGGGGGGGGGGGGGGGGTGGGGGGGGGGGGGGGGGGGGGGGGGGGGGGGGGGGGGGGGGGGGGGGGGGGGGGGGGGGGGGGGGGGGGGGGGGGGGGGGGGGGGGGGGGGGGGGGGGGGGGGGGGGGGGGGGGGGGGGGGGGGGGGGGGGGGGGGGGGGGGGGGGGGGGGGGGGGGGGGGGGGGGGGGGGGGGGGGGGGGGGGGGGGGGGGGGGGGGGGGGGGGGGGGGGGGGGGGGGGGGGGGGGGGGGGGGGGGGGGGGGGGGGGGGGGGGGGGGGGGGGGGGGGGGGGGGGGGGGGGGGGGGGGGGGGGGTATTTTTTTCTTACTAGTTCACCATTTCCAGAATGATAATTATATATATATATATATATTATATATATATATATATAATTATCATTCTGGTGCGTGCAAATGTAAACTTTTAAATCTCAACCATGAAAACCTGTATCCTTATTTTAGTAACTAGTCTTAGACTTCTGTTTTTCTTATTTATGTAGTATTTTGGTTTCACTTATTAAGTTACTATTTCGTTATACCATTGGAAGAGCGGAGTACCCTGATGTACTCCCTAGACTTAGTTCAGGGGCTCCAATAACTGCTAAAAATGTACCTTGTTATTGAATAAAAAAAATTGAATTTTTGAAATTTAAATATAATTTGAAATAAATTATATATTGATGAACATATAAGGTATGTCCAGTAACAATATCTTCCTTTTTATTGTATATCTAATATCTTTCCAGCAACCCTCCTCGGTTCAGAGTGCGTGGTCTCCGAACAGTGTACGCTAAAAGTTGCGTACAGTGCGTGCTTGGACGGCGTCTGCCGTTGCACCGATGGTCATTTGCAATTCAGAAAACACACATGCCTCTCACGTGAGTATAGTATTTCCTATTTATATTCAAATACTAGCTGACCCGACAAACGTTGTTTTGCCATGTATATTATTTCTAGGAAACATTGTTTTAGTTCAATAAAATTAACTATCTACTACAACAAAAAATAGGGGTTGATCGTAGAGGGGTGACAATTAAGAGTTGTATGTACTATTTTATGCTGTATTATAAAAAAATAAAAACAAAAAGTTTTGTCTAAAAAATTAAATTTAGGGGTGGGACCACCCTTAACATTTAGGGGTTTGAAAGATAGATAGTAGCCGACTCAGACTTACTGAATATGCATAAAAATTTCATAAGAATCGGTCGAGCCGTTTCGGAGGAGTATGGGAAAGAACATTGTGACACGAGAATTTTATATATTAGATATATATTTCCAGCCTAGACCCTAAACGAACCCTTTCTAAAATAATGTTTCGTCTCCTATCAAATTGCTTTTACGCTATGTCGAAAAAAGACAAAAGATAGTTTAAACTAAAAAAAATCGGTAGGTACATTACTGAAATTTTTAAGGAAGTTATTGTTTGATGACACAGAAGGCTGATAACCGCCTTCTTAATCTTCATATGTTTATATATCGTTATGTCTATGAAATTAGTGATTTAATCAAACCTAAAAAGAACTCTTCAAGCAGGGGCAGATATGCTTTTTGGCCTGCAGCCCTGGGCCCCGTGGATAAAAAGGGTAATCCCCACTGAAAACAATAGGCGATGTTTTGAATTAAAAATAAATATATGAAATTTTTAAAAAATCCAAAAATAAGGTTGGTATCCCTGAGATCAATCAACCCATGTGCGATGCGCGTCTATTGAACGGAATGGAAAATTCCCCGTCGCTTGTTTTCGATCTGTGTATTTTTTCGCGTCTATGACGGGATTTGTTCGTAATAGCCCAGAGCCCCACAAATTCATGATGCGCCCATCTACAAGTACAGTCAAAATCTGTTATAACGACATCGAAGGGACTACTCATATTTGTTCGTAAAAATCGATAGTCGACGTTGTTATTAAGAACCTAATACAATATAATTCAGCCGGGACCTTTGAATTTGGAATATAACCGGTATGTTGTACTAAACGATGTCGTCGTAAACGGTGACTGAATTGACTGCATATTCGGTTATAAAGTCCGTTAAGATGTGGTAAACTAACAAAATAATCGAATAGATTATCCAATAAATATCTCATATTTTACGCAATATAAGACACGCTTTTGTTCGATGCTTTCGTTTTCGCGATCTCGGGTCTTGATCTCCGCTGATCGAAATCACGATTAGAAATATCACTGCAAATGGACCATCTTGACATTGAGATGAAAGTTTTGATACGCCTCGTAATTGGGCATCAACAGTTTTGAAGGATAGAATATCCGAATACAAGAACATTATTTAAATTTTACAAATGTATCATGTATCAACTTAAGAATTTAGTTAGCTGTTCCATTGTTTTTTATAACACCATGTGCCTATTTTATTTTAGTACAGAGTTTTTGTTCTAGGTACATGGTCTTCAAATATAATAATTATCAAATCAATGTGTACAAAATATTGTGAAAACTATTTTAAAACGTTTGCAGTTTCTTGTCCATTCTTTTCTATTTGAAACTACCTTTTGGAAGGGGCAACAGTTTTTTTTTAAATATTGTTAAGTTGTAACTTGACTTTCAAAAGTACCTTTCTAATAGTTCTGATTGTATTTTTTATTCAAATGCAGCAACCTTATGTTATAGGTTTATTAAGATAATTTGGGACCCCAATAACCCAATTTTAACCCATTTTCTATACCTAGTTGGGTAGAAATTTGGGTCAATATTACTAATTCCATTTATAGAAATTGAACCTGTGTATATTTCGCAGCCAACTAGCTTAATTAGCAGTTCAATCAAGCTAGGCAAGTATGATAATAACTTGAATCGATGACGTTTCATTACTTGCCTAGCCTCTTCATTTCAATTTAGTTCCAGTATCTGCCACCTAGTGTCAAAACTTTAGTAGATGCTAGGCTGTTGATTGAACGGCTAATTAAGCTAGTTGACTGCGACATATATATAGATCACCTTGATGGCTGGAAGTCTTCCATGGTCCGCTTCACAAGATGTTTTCTTTTGCGAACTGTGGAACCAAATAGCGGCGGGGTCTTTCCTGGGAGATACGTCATACAATCGCTTTAAAAAAATCAGTGGCATTACAACCTTTTAAGGTCTGGACCTCAGATTTCTATATCTGATTCATGATCATTTGTCAATCTAATAGGCAAGTAGGTGATCAGCCTCCTGTGCCTGACACACGCCGTCGACTTTTTGGGTCTAAGACATGTCGGTTTCCTCACGATGTTTTCCTTCACCGTTCGAGCGAATGTTAAATGCCCACATAGAAATAAAGTCCAATAGTGCACAGCCGGGATCGAACCTATGACGTCAGGGATCAGAGTCGCACCCTGAAGCCACTAGGCCAACACTGCTTTAAAAAAAGACCTCCCTTTTATATCAATAAATTATAATATTCCGAATAAAAAATAATTCATATTTCGTCGCACTAATCATTATTATGCATAAGTCACTATTTCATTCAAAACCTTTTAAAGTGATTTAAATTTTACGATAAAACATTACGTGAAGCATGATTTGTTTAACTGCGTGCCGTCTTGAGTTCTCTTAATCGCCATTATCTTAAACACATTACCATAAACGGATGTTATTAAAGTTTATCTTGGTTCTATGGGAAAAAGTGAACTCTAAAACATTGCACTTACCGTGAACAGTTTCCGTATGTAATGTGATCATGTTATGGGAATGTTTCACTGATTGTTATGGATGGTTAGGGCATGTAGCATCAATTCAAATGACAATAGTATTGTTGGTATTGTAACTGTTATGTCTAAAGTGCACAAAGGTTATCTCATGATTTAACTTAATTATTTGCGCTGACGAAAGAAACTGATTTTTACTTCCACAAATCTAGTATTCATCGTACTCGTGTTAATTGGCTATTTTTTAATTAGTATGTGTTAGAAACTTTCCCATACCTAAGTGGCTACTGGATTTAAATTGTATGATTGCAAAGACATCATAATTGGAGCATGAAATTGTTAACTATAGCTTCATAATCATGAAAGCTACTAACTGTTCTTGATTACTAAGTGGACATGATAATGCTATAACAATAAATATATGGTAGATATTATATAATAAACTTTCATTTCAGCCGCTCCACCATCCCATGTGTGTTACATGAACGAACACTGCCGCCTTTGGGACAAAGATAGCCATTGTGAATTCGTCATACCTAACCTCTTTGGAAGATGTTCTTGCAATTCGTATTTCAAACAATCCGGTAATAAATGCCTTCCAATCAAACCAACGGCGTATGCTACAGAGGCTGTTATTGCAGAGCAAGACACAATCAATGATTCGAGTGACAATTCAAATAACTACGAAGCAGCCAGCCTAAAAGACCCTTCAGGACAAGCCAGTTTAGTCATCGCATCCGAAGATGTCAAACCAAGTAAGCTACCAATGTTTACAAGCAAGAATGATGTTCTAAGCACTCAAGAGGATAGCCCGCTGATGCAAGCCGTTATGAAAGTACCATTTGTGGAACAAGCGAAACGTCTACCAGTATCCAATAGGAAGGACGGAGAATCTAATGAACTCAAAGTTGATGAAATGACTGCGAATCTACATGCAAATGATCAGCCAGTTTATAGAGTTGTTACACAACCTTCGATTGATAAGAAGTCTAACAAAAAGAGTGGTTCTAAAGAAAATGCAAAACAGAAAGGGCATCAGAAGAAATCGTCACTCAAAGGTAAATTGCAATGTATTGTTGTTAGGGGGGGGAAAAAAAAAAAAAAACAAACCAACCACCCCCCCCCAAACCCCCGGGGGGGGGGGGCCCCCCCCCCCCCCCCCCCCCCGGGTGGGGGGCCCCCCGGGGGGCCGGGGGGGGGGGGGGGGGGGGGGGGGGGCGGGGGGGGCCCCCAATTCCCCCCCAACTCCCCCCCCCCCTCCCTTTTTTTTTTTCTTTTCCTTTTTTTGTTGGGGTTTTTTTTTTTTTCCCCCCCCCTTCCCGGGGGTGGGGGGGGGGGGGGGGGGGGTTTTTTTTTTTTTGTTTTGTTGGGTGGGGGGTTTGGGGGTTTGTGGGTTTTTTATTACACTTTTTTTTTTTTTCTTTTTTTTTTTTTTTTTTTTTAATTTTTTTTTTTTCTTTTCTTCCTTTCGTCTTCTTTCCCCCCCCTTTTTGGGGGGGGGCGAAACCCCCCCCCCCCCTTTTCTTTTTTTTTTTTTAAAAAAAAACGGGCGGGGGCGCCGGGGGGGTTTTCTCCCCCCCCTTTGGCGGTGGGTGGGGGCCGGTTGGGGGGGGGCTCCTGGGGCCGCCCTTTTTTGGCCAAATTTTTCCCACCCTTCCCCACCAAAATTTTTTCCCCCCCCAGCTGCAAAAAAATTTTTTTTTGTCGGGGCGGCCAACGGGGCCACCATCAATTGCAGCAAAACATGGCCCGTTTAGACGCGCCAGGCAATTTGGGCCAAAAAGAATCATTGACAAGATTCCATAGTCCTTTTTAGAACTGATTTAAAACCCTTAAGGAGGTTTACCGTATGTCACCGTAAAGTCGTATATATTATTTTTCTTTGTAGATACAATTTAAGAGAGTAGTTTTCTACAGTGCCACATGTACTTTTCTTGGCCGGTAAGAGCGTCGCTGTTATGGATATTAGTATTGCCAGTAAATAAAAATTATAAAGTAATGCAACTTAATAATTTATTGAAATGTCTTAATAAGACAATGTATCTAGAAAATACATTTCTAGGCTTAAATAAATGTGACATAAACTTAGGAACAACTGATATGATAGGTTCTGATACCTGTACTTTTAATATAATATCTTTTATGATAAACTCAAACTCAAAATATCTGTATTCATATAGGTAAACAAGTACACTTATGAACGTCAAAAGAAGTTAAATAAATTGTTAATTTACATTTACTACCAGTTCGCAAGTCAAGGGCGTAGAGCGGGTAAGAAGAACTGGCAAGAAACTTTCCACTATACCTAAACCTAGCAATCAGAACCGTTCGATTATTAAAACTTTGCCATTGTAATTAGATTTAGATTGGATTATATAATACATTAGATGTTGGTAGAGAGTTAAATTATTTATTGCGCACCAAAAAAATACAGAAAATAAACAATGTCTGACATTTCAAAATGGCGACAGTAGTACCAATTTCAGCCGCCGGCCAAGAAAGTATGTGGCACTGTATAGAAATAATCCACATCGTCAAATTTTTCTGTCAATGTTTTCGTACTTATAGTATCTGACAGAATACCCTGCCAGAGTAATGAGATTAATTTTGAACAGGATTTCGGTTACATTCACAGATTATTGATCATCATTAAGGTCCATATTCTAATTCGCATCTCAAGTCATAATGTCGTCTTGAGCACTGTCAAATAATGCCAACAAAGTCAAATATAGACGTTCAAAAATCCTAAGATTTAGGTAAGTATAAAACCGGTCATTTCAGATAAGCAACGCGTAAGGGCAGATGGAGTGCCTAAACTGGACCTGGGGCCAGTATCCTTGGGTATGCCTTGTTACATCGATAGCCAATGCCAGAAGGTGGATCCTAACGCACAGTGCGTGAACAAACGCTGTGACTGCATGTACCGTACTAATTCCACTGCTGCGTGTTCTGCTAGAAATAGGGGCTGTCTCCCGGGAACTTTCCAAGTAAGTTTAATTAATATTTCTTGCAAAAAAAGACTGAACCTTCGCGCGATGAAGTTACAGTAAAAAAGAAAATGTCCAGAAAATAACTTAACTACCACTATACATTGCTCTCCAAATGCCACCACATCTCAATCCCATTTTTCACAAACAATACAAAAGTCAAAAGTCAACAATCATTTATTCATGTAGGTAACACAATGTACACTTATGAACGTCAAAAAAGAAATATACATTAAATGCTTCTAATTTTACATTTAGTGCCAGTTCTCAAATAAAGGGCGTAGAATGGAAGAGATGAACTGGCAATAAACTCTCCGCCTCTCTTTTTAATCGCCAAGTTTTTGGTTTTACACCAATAAAATAATAATTATTACCAGCCCCCCACTCCACCTCTCCCACCACCTCTCCCACCACGGCCGGTCGTCGCGGTAGAGCCAGACCACACTACTTCCACTTCCTATTTATCGATTATATTTTTGTTTTTAAACCATTCATGTTATGGAGAATGTTTTTTCAGTGTCGATCCACTGGCACCTGCATCAGCTGGTACTTCGTGTGCGATGGGAGGAAGGACTGCCCCGATGGTTCCGACGAGAAATGCTTAGGTACTGGTAAAAGGTAACTGTCTAGCACCTTACTATATCCCTTGCACTACTCGTTACTTGTCTAACTTTCAAAACTTACTAATACTTCATGATTAGTTTAAGAAGATTTTAGATAAGAGTGTAACAATTCTAAAAGGGACGGCAACGCACTTGCGAGCCTCCTGGCTGTGGGAGTGTCCATGGGATGATACTCCTACCGATGTTACCCCCAGTTCTATTAAAAAAGAACGTTTTTTATGTTGAAACTTATAATTGAACGTTTATGAATAAGTAACCTTACGAGTTGAATCCTGACTTACGTGCCTTAAAGTGTAGATACAGTGTAGAAAATAATATTATTATTTGATCGGTCCGAAGCAGCTGTCTTAAGTTGACTTGTACTTAATTAGTGTTATTAGACATTATTATATATATTATATTCAGGAAATGTATGTGTACATTAATTCTTATATCAAGATTTGACGGGAATTTGTTCACTTTTAAGACGGCATGGGCGAACGCTGTCCGATGCACGCGTTCCGTTGCGGCGGCCCCGGTTCGCCGTGCGTGTCCCGCGCGTCACGGTGTGACGGGACGCCACAGTGTCCCGGAGGAGAAGATGAGAGGAATTGCAAGGCGACTAGGCGTAAAGGGTATGTTTATGGATTTTATGAAACAATATATAGATAATGTTATATGCAGTTAAATATTTATTTCAACACTTCACCAAATTGTCTATAACAAATTTGCACGTAACTGGCAGGAAATGAGAAAAAATTATATTTGATAAATGTTAATGTTAATCTTGAATTAAATCAATTTTTCGCCGCAGTTTGTACATCTACTCAACAAAAATCCCACGACATCTAGTTTTTAATCCGCCCAAAAATGTTTATCTTTTTCTTATATATTTTTTTAAATTCTTTAGTAACAATTATTCTTATTTTTATCTACTATATACTTTACACACAAATCTTCCAAGACTTCTTTACTTACACTGTAAATTTTTACTATTGTTATTATTACATTATTTTTCCTTTTTGCGTCTGAGGCGCAAACTGTTGTGGTCTCTGGCAGAATGACCAGCGCTGTGGAACACGTTTGCTCCATAGCATAATGCTGATACAGAGCCAGTTACAACCACAACACACACACATTACACACTTAAAATTGACCTTATTTTTCTTTCTTTCCAAATTCTTTTATTATTATTATTATTTTGTGCTTTCATTAGTAATAAACGTTATGTTATGTCATTGTACTTGCACCGTATTTGGGCAAATAAATTATTATTATTCAAATATTTATTCAGGTGTTAGTAGTGAAAAAATGTATGGTATTTATCTAAAAATATTAAATTTAAATGTTTCATTACGTGGCCAAGTATATTTAATAATTATAGGTATTGGCAACAGTTATTAAATTCGCACTCGTTATGTATTTTATTAAAAGTACATACACCAATTTAACCTATTATATCCCCACATAAAGTCCCTTGTTATATAAAATACAAAATTTTAAAATCACACCAAAAAAATTTAATATAAAAATTTATCGAGAAATGTGTACAAAAATGCGTTCAAGTAACTTGCTTCAAACCTTACATCAATTCGTCATATGTGGTCCCACAATGGCGTCGAAGTGTGTAAATAAACAATTCTCACGCTTGTAATTACTTCAACGTAATAGATACTGAACAGGTTTCACCGTTCACATTCCTTCATCCAACAATATGTTATACAATACTTGGTATTACCAGTTAACCTGCTCTGCAAATCCTTTAAACCATATGTATGTAGTGTGAACTCAGTTTCCGAATTTAGACGTCCATTTTGTCCATTGTGAGTTACATCCTGGCTAATTTGGCCAACAGAGCTTTTTCTAGAAGCTCAGAACATTCCTGGGCTTCGCAGGCTTTACGAAGCGATCACTGGTCCGAGGATTCCAGGTCCACCTTGACTGATTCCTCTGCGTAACAGCCTCTGCATCGCGCCAATAACAAATAGATGTTGACTATAGTGACAGTGGCCCCATCATTATTTTGAGATTAATTCTGTTCATGCTTAGAAGTCTGCTTTGTCCCATAAATAAATATAAAGCATTAATTTTTGAATTAAACCGTAGTTATTTTTAGGTGGAAACACAGCGAAACAATTTATTTCATTCTCTTCAAAATAAATTATTTGTATTTAATATGCCAATCCAGAAAGACCAATTTCTTTGACTCTATGACTTTCTGTCTATGTGCGCTCTTGTGTAACTATTTGTCTATGAAATAAAAAAATGATCCTGCAATCTGAGGAGCAGACCCATTTAGAGTGGAGGCCAGTGTATTATTATTATTGCAAATTTAAATTTTGTTAAAAATGGATTTATTATTCACTAACATTTTATCAACACACTATCTACGGTCTCAGAGCAGCTGGATTTTCAATATTTCCAAACCTATTTTACCTTGTATTTTTTGTTTATCATACTCGTATTTATTCCAACACACAAATATACAATTTTACAATTTTCTTAACCAACATGGTAATAATAATAATTATTACAAATATTTTACCCTATATTACCTTTTCAACCTATGTTATATTTTGCAGAATGCTAAGTTTAATTATAAATTATACTACACAATAGAATTGTAAAGTACGTCACTCTGTGCAACAAAAACGTAATTCTGGGTAAAGTGCAAGTGAAAGAACTGTTGACATCGGTCCAGAAGTTTTAGTGTTTACAAACATTCCTTTATAATATTAATTCCTTCATTAAAAGTGTATTCAACACGTTTAAAAAGTGTAATTAGAATGTTGAATTCACCGTTAACTTGATTACATTTCGTATGCGTTGCGTTTGAGCATTCCATTCCTGAGTTACAACTTTGAATGTAAATTTCGTTAAGTCGGAGTTCCTGCTTCGATCCCAGCGTGATTTAGGCATAGACCAATGAGTCATAGAAGGACGTTTATTTGTTATATGATTGATTCATTTGCTTTTATCTTTCAGTTGTCCACGTCACACATTCCGCTGCAACTCGGGCGAATGTCTCCCTGAGTACGAGTTCTGCAATGCTATCATTTCCTGCAAGGACGCGTCAGATGAACCACCTCATCTATGTAATGAACAATCTAGGTATGTAAAATTACAGGTTTATAAAAAATAGTTATATTTAAAGTTTAAAACCACGTATGGTTAATTTTTAACCATAAATATTTCACAGATTTAAAAGCAGAAAAGCATTCATAATACAAAGTAATCAAAATAAATAACTATCATACAAAACACACCACCATCTTTCATTGTATCTTGAGCAGCATTTCAGTAAATGCTAATTGCTAACGTTGATCACAGCGCCCTCTCTTATTCACTTTGTTAACTACTTTCCGTCCGATAGATGGCGCGCAGCAGACTTCTGTCCGCTCCGCTGTGGTAATGGACGATGTCGAAGCACAGCCGTGGCTTGCTCGGGCCGGGATGGTTGTGGGGATAACAGTGACGAGATAGCCTGCTCAGTCTGCAGTAAGTGTTAAGAATACAACTCTAAAAAAATACGTAAGAAAAAATAGACATGACGCGGCGATAGCATGACTTAAGTGGCTTTAAGCGAATAAAAAACTACGTATTCTTGTCGCTAGATGTCGTGCCACAAGCTGCTCTATGTTTTCCAACATGTAATTTTGAATGAAAGCCGTATCGCGTAAGTCTAAATTCTTACCAAGCTTCATCGTTTCGTTAATAGAACAGCCGGTATTGCTTCGTACATGCAATACCGTTTTATAATAATAATAATAAAATAATTTTTATTAATCAGACAAATACAGTCCATTGATTGATTAGTGAGTTAGTAACAATAGTTTCTTAAGATCTATGTTAGAGAATTAGTAAAAATAAGGAAAAAGTAGTTAAATAAAAACTATCAGGTACAAAGCCCTGCGGAGATGTCGGAGCAGTGTCGTAAATAGGGGCACTCCATTCTTTCATATAATTTGATCACGTAATTAAATAACAATAAACTAATATTGTGTATGTAATATATTCTACAATTAGTTCTCTTTCTCACTTTTTACAATCAAATATAAAATATGTTTTTGATTCAATAAAGAAACCTCGCCTTACGAGTTTCTTAGATTTTAATTGTGATATTGGAAATGTTTTTCATAACAGTATTTTCAGGAAATGTAATCTTTAAACATAAAAAATCTTCTAAGTCTCAAACAAAAAATTAAATCGGTCACAAATTAAGCTCTAAATAAAAATATTTTCACAGGTAGGTACTCCCAAACCTCTTGATATCTTTTTTTAAACAATGAAATTGCGACATATTAAAAAAATATAAAATTAAACACCTGAACAAACCACCTGTTCCAATACTGACACAATATTAAGCACACCATATTTTCACGTGTAGCTTTATATTTTTAAATAATTACCTACAAAGTTTATACACACAAAATAGTACTTTTAGTATTTACAGTGTATTAAACTTTACATTATTCTATAGACTAGGTTTATAGCTTAAAGAGCATCAGCCAATCATAGAAAATGACATTTAATATTTTATAATAGGTTTTCGTAATAAACTTAAGTTATATTATCTGCTACGTCTATTATGTACAATCAGAAGTTTGCAATGCATTTTTATACTGCGTTTTGTACAAGCATAAGTCAATCTTTGCGTGCTTAAAAGTATTTGCTTCGCTTTTATTTATTTTCATTTTAAAGTGTTATCAACATGTTCTGTGCTAAGTATGAATAAATCATCGTATGATTTTTTTCGCAATTATTACCAACTTACGCCCGAACCCAATAACCTATCTCAATCCATTATCCAGCATCTGAGATAATAATCTTAATCCAAAGGTAACAAGTGTTTAACAATAACCAATCGACGGATTGTAAAAGCCAACTGTCGATACAAGCTATCCATGGGAGGTCGTATCGGTGTCTGTGGATAGACCTTTGTATGAAAATGACAGTCGACGAAAGCTCGATTTCAACAGTTAATTATTTTAACAGATTTTAACTTACACCAGTTTTTTAAATATGTAAAAAAGCTGTTTGTTATGTTTTAAACATAGATATGTATATTTTAATGTTATTTGTACGGTTTTATTTACTTTATTTGGTTTACATTGATTATCAAAATATGAGTGAAAACTCGGTAAAATGGATTGTCTTCGTAGGGTTTGGTTATTGGGATGCAGATAGGAGATCGATCGACTGTCACGATCTGATCTCAGATTGTTTTCAATCTGAGATTGTGGGTGGGATTATTGGGTTCGGGCGTTAGGGAACAGTCAAATTTCACAAAAATCGTTTTAAATGTTTTTATGATATGGCTACCCATGCATTTTGTTAAATTACGTACATTATTAAAATCTCCCCCTTCATAGGATACACTAATATTTGTGGTAAATAATGAATGAATTATTTCAGGATGTCCATCAGCACCAGAAGCACCTTGAACTGAAACAATCACAGTAGATAATTGCGGTCGTAAATTTCTGCATATTCTAAAATTATTTCCTTATAGGTAATAGCAATGTGCCTAATCTTTTGTTTGATATAAAAAGTTCATAAAGGCACGTACACCGATTATAAACCCCCGCTCATAAGACTGACGAGTTATACTCTATATCTTGCATTTCATTTTTATATAGCTGTAAATACATAGACTAAGTCCACCAAACTTTACGATAGTTTGTCACGTTATTAATGTCAGTTCCGATAGCACGCTTTTCCATAGTCCATTTGGAACTAATTTTGCGAGACCATTTTCAAATGACGTAGGGCCAGTATTCGGGAATGTCAACGTCATTCTAGTTTCAAAATCTGTCAAACTATTTTGTTTGAATTAAGTTTGACATATTTGAATTGTTCAATATATTATTCGGGATATGAATTGGAATTTTAGTATCAACTTTAGGTTTGGAAGGTTTGGTTGGAAAAACCTTCAAAATTTTAATTATATATAAATTTCGTAATTTGTTTGATCTGTTAAATGCCTATAAACCTACTAATTATAAACTCTTTTAAGATATTTGTCAGCCAGTAGCTTTGTGAATGATTTTTACTGCACTTTTAATTGTAAGGAGAGTCTTCTAGATTTAGTTTAATGAGAGTGTCGGTGATGTAACTTATTGTATTATAATGTGTTTGTGTGAATGTGATAAATTATATTTACATTTTTAAGGAAAAACTTAATTTTATTTCTTATCCCTTAGAAAAATAATATTAAAAAAAACATGTGTGGAATCACACGTGGTAGAAGTGAAACTTTCAAACATTTTGATTCAAGATTATGTTATTTTAATTTTTAGTTTAATATCAATCTTTAATGTTCATAAAAACTAAAATAATAAAGTTTATAAGTACACTGTATAATGCTTCCTATCTCATTTTCTCCCACGTTCAGTCTTATAAATTTATGTGTCTATCTCTTTTCACTGATTCTTTTTCGTGCTATCAAACTATGCTATCGACTTTCAAATCACATCGATGCTAAAGAAATTTTCACTTCTAAACTTTATTCACGAAAATTATGTCCGTGGGAACAAGACGAGGAAACGAGCAGCCTCTCTAAAAAGAGAATAGTAAATGGTTATTTTTTAAGTTCCCGTACACGCCTGTATCGAATTACACTTGTACTTTTATCATGCGGGCGAACTTGACTAATAAAATATAAATTATTTAATGTTACACCAAAATGGAAATGATTTTAATTACTAACGTGAGAGAACAATGTATTATGTAACGTTTGTATTTGAATAGGAGATGCGGTCTCCAAAAGCTATTCCCCTTCAACACAATGAAGACCGCCACCTGGTTCTCGTGAAAAAAGACTAGCACCTTCTAGAAAAATTACTAATCATAAAAAGCACAAAACTATTAACGGAGGCCTATGCCAAGTGACAAGCTGAGTTCGGCGATATTTTTTAAACCTTTTCAGCTTTAAATTTTTAAACCTTTTTAGGCATTCTATTGCCTATTTTCGCAATAGTTAAAAAATGTGTTTATTCATTATAACTATGTATGTCTGTGATATTTGGGTACCGTTTTAAGTATTAAATACCTGTGTCATAATATAAATATATCCCTATTAAACATATTTTACACATAGATATATCATATCAAAGAAAAAAATATATAATGAGAGATAACAGTTTTTTCGTAACAAAAGGTTCGTTTTAAGTGTGTAATGCGTGTGTGCTGTGGTTGTAATTGGCCCTGGCTCAGCATTATGCTGAGGGGCAGACTGTTCCACAGCGCTGGTCATTATGCCAGAGACCACAGAAGCTAGATTGCGCCTCAGCCGCACAAAAAATCTGAGCTTTAGTGCGCATGTTTACCCGGGGCCTAGGATAGGACACCTGACCTAATAACAACATCAATATAATTGATAGCAAGGTGCATGTGCAGTAGATATCGACGGAATCGTGTCACGCATGCGTGGCCTGCAATTCCCTGCCATCAAAGCCTAAGGTGCAGCCTCCGAGGCTGTACCACTTTTTAGAGATCTTTATTGGGTCCTGGTTGTGCGTACTTCTGGGTATGTAATTTTGTATTTAATAATTTGATAATACATTACTAATTTAAATGATAAGCTTATAAGCAAACGTGTTTTTACAATCTTGCGCAGCCGCATACGTCAATTTTTAACCGACTTCTAAAAAGATTGAGTAATTTTTTTTTTTTCACAAAGGTTACCTGGAAGACATCGCTTGTAAGCGATAAGACCGCCAGTTGCTCTCCTTTTCATTCAATTATGTTTCTACAACGAAGTATTAATAAATAAATTATTATTATAAATTCCAAAGTAATTTCAAATAGCGATAGCGATACGAACTCCGATTATGCAATTTTGATAATATGTCCTTAATATTCGATCTCTTCCTACTAGAGATCGCGCGAACAAATACATTGAAATCTGGATCTCAATCTCTATTGGAAGTTAAAGATTAAATGTGCTGGATTTGTATTTCTTTGTTTGCGCCATGGTCATTAGGTCATAAAATCAGCTTTAAGAACAGAGAAACGATATATTCTTTTAATTGTTGTTGATTTTTGTGTGAAAAATTAGGGTTTTTCTCCCGGGCGTCTTTTAAAAACATATTTTACTTATGAGCTTTGCGAAAATGTAATTCGGATTGTTACACACAAACAAACAACCTATTCCTATCATGCAATATTATAAATAATTACATAATATGTACCTACTTTGAAAGTGTATGTCAGGTCAAAATCGTAATTTACATCTATTTTGGTCTAAATTTTCGTTGCGTTACAGTACAGTGTAAACTCTTTATAACGTTATTCGGTATAACGAAAAACTTATACATAACTTATAACGGAAAAATGAGTTAAATTTGTTTTACACAAACCAATATATTATTACACTCTTTATAACGGTACAGCCACTCTCTAATACGAAGATATATTTTCATATTTAGACATCAACAACATACTTAAGTATGATTGTTTTTATAATCGTGGCGAGGTAAGTAATCGTAGAGGCGTAAAGGTGCCGAAATTTCTATGAAAGACACCTGAGGTCACAACAGCCTTCTCGCCTTTGTTACTGTTAATTGCATTAACACGTGTGCTATTATTCTTAAATTACATCGCCTGTAGGAAATTTCGGTCTCAGTTACTAAACACACCTATATATTATATATATAAATAATTGTAATTGGTTAAATTTGTTTTTTTTGTCTCATCCCTCCGTATAACGAAATAAAAATGTTCGGTCCCATGAAATTCGTTATAAAGAGTTTAGAGTGTACCTGTTATTTAGTTATTTTTTTCCTAAACCTAGTCTCTCATATAATATAGGTAGGTATTAGCTAAGTCGCAATATATCTAAAATATATTTCGAATTAGCTAATATAGGTTACTGGGTGAGGCAGCTTCGCGCATGTCCTGAGTCCTGTATTTGGCCCCTGGATATCTGGGAACTTCTGCGCATGCTCGAAAACCTAGGATAGCTGGAGAACTGTATGTCAGGGTTTATACGTAAGTCTGAATCTAGACCTGTGAGACTAGTCAATAATCAGTGTAACATATAAATTGTAGAACAAATTTTAGGTGAGTAATATCTATAAATACGTGCTATTCAAAATATCAATCGTTATTACGGCTCGTAGTCATTCTTTAGACTAATTAACGACATGTATGGTATAGAAACTGGTCGTTGACGTTACTTCGTGTTGTCCTAATAATATATGTCTGTTAATAATAAGATATTCTAATTATTAAGGAATTAACACGAATTTAATTTCCGGTAATTGAAAAAGCATTTTTTAATTATTTATAAAAATTAAGAACTGTGGTTGAATTTTGGGTCTCACACTGACGCTGTACGAAGTGTTATTAGAAGTGTTATTATAGTTATGAAATCTATTGGTACACAGCCGGGAATTGAACGCATTACAGTTAAGAGTTGGCCTCGTAAGCCTAACCACTCAACAACACTGCTCTTCAAACTTTTCCGGTATATAGAAAAATTAAATAAATAATAACAATAGTGCTCTTGTAATTTTATTTTTTTATAAATTTAAATGATTCATCTAGACACATAATAACTGTTTTTTTAATATGCGTAAGAATCTTGTAGACAATTGGAACTTGAGCCTTTGAATAAACATATGTCTTAGACGATATATATGTGGATTTTGCAAGTGTGTTAATTATTATTAACTGACACGAAATCAAATATATATCATCCTAAACCCCCGTGGCTCTGTGGATAACGAACATAGTATATCCCCTGGAGTTTTGAAATAATATTTTTTTTATTTGTAGACTAGACAAAGAAAGGCACACATAAGTATGTATTATTTATTTAAATAAAACCTAAACATAATAATCAAATAAACAGTATTTGTCTTAACCTTCATAGTAATAAAAAAAAAAAATGTTTGGTCCCTGTGGCAGTATACCTTTAACGCTGGCAGCATCATCATCAGGAAAGCACCAGCTCTGGGGTAACCGGTAACTTAAATCTTTAATTAGCGCCTGTGCACTTGAACCCCTATTATTTTCCGCCTGCGGCCGCTCCAGCTTTTTTGCTTTAACGATGCCTGTTGGCTCCAAAATGGCTGGAACATTGATTGTATATTTCATATTTGTAGTCTCCATTATGTAAGGAAAGCATTAATACAATAAAAATACTTTAAATTTGGTTGGTTCAATCAGTGTGCTGTTGAAAGCTATTAAATGACTTTTTAAATAATTTATTTGAAGGATGCCTTGGTTATAAAGATAAACATCAACTAATACAAACGAACATAATAGCACATTTATATCTCGGATTAAATCACCCCGTTACAAATAAAAATATTCTTTGTAGTCAATTGTTTATTAAACAAGGAAATGGATTGAATTTTCATTAACGAAGTCACAGCCGCGTTCAACGTACACTGTTTAATGGATTCAAAATGTTGCATATATTTTTTCAAAGTGTTGA